TATTCGAGTATTGGCAGTAATGGTTATGGTGTGTGTGTGAGGGAGGGGGAGGGTGTTCAGATCAAAGATCGTTTCTATAATTCTATATCTTTTAGTTGTTACCATTTCACTCTTTTCTTTATCCATTGATCTCTATTATATTTGTCCTAAACATGCGTGAAATATTTGCGCTTAAGGCAACCAAAAAACAATCAACGTATTCTTCATATTTCATCATTTTTTTATATGTTATCTATAAGTTTGGTCCCGCCCCTTATCTATTTTTTGCACATTATTCTCTCTATGTAAACCCATTTCCTGTCCTGATAAATGGTGACTCATGCAATAGCATCATATGTGGTTATTAAAACAAGAAACATATTCATATTATAATAATTTACTGTTTGCTTGGACTTATAGATAGATGTCATTAGTCCCAGATCATGTAATAAAGTAGGTCCTATAAAAATACAATAGCATTTTAATGATGATTATATATATGTATATATATTTAACAATGCCATTTTTTTGGAAAAAAAGGGTAGGGGCAAGTCGTTTTTAAAACATATTAATAGGGCGCGTTTGTTTGTTCTTCGGTAGTGAGCCAGAAGAAGTCCATTTCTGTTTTTTTTTTTTTGCACTGGGAAGATCTTCTGGCTCTCTTCCATCTCTTCTTTTTTTTATAGGTTGTTTAGACGGCAGAGGCACATAACAAAGATGGCGTCGTTTAGTCTAAATGACATTAATAAATTTATGAATGCAGATATATTAGAATGTGAGCTGTGTTATAAACGTTTTTATGGTATGCCAGCCTTAGTAGGACATCCCTGTAGGACGATAAGCTGGATAAATATAAGAACTACACGGACAATAACAGTTAAGGGACTATCATTTGATATTCTAGGGATGGGATTTTGATTGATTGGTGTTTAACGCTACTTTCAACACTATTGGGCTATACCGTGGTGGTCAGTTTAATTTATAGATGAAGGATGGGGAAGGGAAGAGACGGCATTATTATTCATTTTAATCTGTCGCTAATCATGCCTATTTTTTCAGCTCTTATACCAGGCAACCATATTCATATATGAAATCCTTCTGTCCCTCACCCCAACAAATAAATAAATATCAAATGGTTTTCCTCTTATTTAACACAAGTTAAAATTGATCGATTGTTTGTTGCTAATTTTTAACGCCCAGTGACAAATATTTCATGCTTGTTTAGGAAAACACGAGTTTAGAAGTCTGGTATATAAAATAAAAACGAAGAGATGGGATATGATTGCTAATAAGGTAACTATCCACCGGATTTCAAATATGAAGTGGATGTAAGCAATTATAGACAATCGTAATGCCTTCAACAATGACAAAAACCTATTACTGTAAAGTCGTCTTTAAAAAGCCCGACATGAAAAGTGTGAACAATTTAAACGAAAAACTAAAGGCCTAATTATACATAACAAAACAATTTACAAAATATCAAATATGAGTCGAGACATGAACCAACGACAACCACTAAACTACAGGCTCCTGACCTGGGACAGGCAAATAAAGAATATGGCAGGGTTAATATAAAAACGAAGATATGGTATGATTGCATATGAGACAACTCTCCAAATTACACAGAAATCAACAGCTATAAGTCACCGTACGGCCTTTGACAATAAGCAAATTAAGCCTACACCGCATAGTCAGCTATAAAAGGCCCCGAAATCACAAATGTAAAACAATGCAAACGAGAAAACTAACGGCCGAATTAATGTACAATAAAATGAACGAAACACAAATATGTATAACACAGCGACAAACGACAACCACTGAATTACAGGCTCCTGACTTGGGACAAGCACATACATACAGAATGTGGCGGGGTTAAACATGTTAGCGAAATCCGAATCCTCCCCCTAACCTGGGACAGTAGTGTAACAGTACAACAACATGTTTGTGAGCACTCAACCCATCCCGAAGCTCTGACAGTCGTGTAACAGTCCAATAAAAGAACAACCTTGCACTAATCAGTTGCAATTAGATTAACTCAAAAGATCGGTAGGAAACACAAAAAAAAAAACCCTAATAGTAAGACAATAGACACAAAGCACCGACATAAGAGTATTTGCAATTACTGGAAGTTTGCTCAAAGCTAATTACAACTAGTACTGAATTAAATCTTGTTCTCCCAGACTTAAGTATCAATCAGTACACAACGCGCGGCAAAGGATTTATTAAAAAAAGAAAACAGTCTGAGAAACGTCTGGTTTACTTTGTATATAGATATAAGAAGATGTGGTATGAATGCCAATGAGACAACTCTCCATCCTAGTCATAATTTGTACATGTAAACCATTATAGGTCAAAGTACGGTCTTCAACACGTAGTCTTTGCTCACACCGAACAACAAGATATGAAGGCCCCCCCCAAAAAAAAAATGACTAGTGTAAAACCTTTTAATATAATCAAAATTTCAGTTTGATTATATTTAAATTTTGTTTACAAACTTTTCATACCAGAGACGAATAGTAACGTATGGCTAAGTAAAACATGCATAACATTTTATTTGTTGTCAACAATTGTAAAAATGTTAAATGAAATAATAACTTACTATTCCAACATAGACTTTTGTTGTATGTTTATACTAACCGAAACCACTACTTCATGAGGGGGGTGACACGCTCAAATTAAAAAAAAATCTGTTTCAGAAAACCAATGCACCAAATTAATTTTATAGGATTTTGTTTAACATTTAAACAAGGAATGTACTACTGGACAAAAACGATTTAAATGTGGGACAAAATCGGCTTACAAAACGAAATTTGTTCAAAGAATAGTACCAAGCATGTGACAAAATTACGGGTATGTAACAGAGGTATCGCTTTTTGGTGGATAGTTGCCGTTTGTTTAACGTTCAGTGGAAAGTATTTCATGCATATTAAGGACCAAACTAAGTTGGGCAGACGACAAAGCGAAATAGTGACACATTAATTGTTCAAAATTTATTTCCAAGTGTTAATTAGGAAGTCAAGTATATTTTATGGAAAGTAAATTTTACTATTATTTATTGAACAAAATAAAGCGATCAAAACCGCTAAAAGAAAATAAACACGGTGAATGAAAGCTGAAATAAATGAAATGTAAAAAAAATCATAACACAATTAACCTTAAACTTTCAATGTTACGAATATTATGCTGATTTTTTTTCCTGACCAGTTTTGATAAAAGTAAACAATCCCAAAAAAAGGGTTTCTTGAAATATAGCGGAGAACTTTTTTTTTAATTTTGATTTATCAAGTTGAATACCTTGTACGATCTATGGAAACACTCCTTGTGAGTGAATTTGGGCTACAACATAAATGAATATATAATTATTTTACCGGGGGGGGGGGGGGGGGGGGATAAAAACCAATACAGGCGTATAGTATTTTGAAGCATTCAAATGAAATGAAACGTAAGATAATTTTTACGAATAAAAAAAAAATCTGCCCAAAATTGATTGATATTTCAAAGAAAGATTTATAGTGTGTTCATAGTAAACTTAAACCAGAATGCGTATAGATGTCTATGCTTTTAACAGTAACAAATCACTTCTAAATATTAAAAATCTACGATGTAACATTAAAGCATTACTATTTTATCGAAAGGGATCGGCATGCGCTAATTGCGTTATTCAAATTCTCGGACACTTAATTTTTTTTCCAAAACACGTTATAGTTGATATCAGAGACATATAATATAATATGCATCCTTCTTTTAAAGTTTGTTTTAAACACTTTATGACACTTGGGGGCACTGCTAAAATAACCTTTCAAAAAGCATATTTAATTTTCCATCTTTAAAACATGTCTATCAGATAAATTTGACCCAGAGACATATAATACAATATGTCTCTGGTGATAATGAACGCCATACTAAACTCCAAATTGTACACAAGAAACTAAAATTAAAAATAATACAAGACTAACAAAGGCTAGAGGCTCCTGACTTGGGACAGGCGCAAAAATGCGGCGGGGTTAAACATGTTTATGAGATCTCAACCCTCCCCCTATACCTCTAGCCAATGTAGAAAAGTAAACGCATAACAATACGCACATTAAAATTCAGTTCAAGAGAAGTCCGAGTCTGATGTCAGAAGATGTAACCAAAGAAAATAAACAAAATGACAATAATACATAAATAACAACAGACTACTAGCAGTTAACTGACATGCCAGCTCCAGACTTCAATTAAACTGATTGAAAGATTATGTCTTCATCATATGAATATCAGGCACAATCCTTCCCGTTAGGGGTTTAGTATCATACCATCATAACATATATGAGAAGAACATAACCCGTGTCATGCCAAAAACTGGTTTTTAAATAAATGTGTTTAGTGCCGATGCAAAGACCCTATAAGTGAATCAATATTAACCATGCTTGAGTCGTGCTTTGTTTAGAGAAAAATGGAGATGGCAAACCATGGCACAGTGGAAAGAAATGGGAAAGAGTTCCATATGGCACCCCCACCCAAAAATATTTTTCCCGATTAGAAAACATTCTAAAAAAGGTTTTTTTTTAAGGGGAGCTTTATAAAAAAAATGGGGCATGGCTTTTTTTTTTGGGGGGGGGGGGGGGGGGGGGTTAAAAAAATAATTGGAAAACAAATGTTAAAAAAATAAATAAAAAAAAATATTACAAAGTAGTTGCTTTTCATGTGGGCAAGGATTTGTATACAAATCCTTGATGTGGGCCATTTTCTGTTGACAACCTTTTTTTTCTTTTGGTACCCCCATTTTCCTTAAATCTTAGTTAATACCTTGTAAAACAAATATATTATTATTGTACATTAAATATATATCAATTAAATATATTTTTACATTTTGGGCGCCATATGGAACTCTTACCAGAATTTTAAAATCAAATCTGGGAAATAGTTTAAAAATGCAATGCTGAATGCAAATCCGTTTCAAATCTCGACAACCCCCCCCTCCCCCCCTTTTTGAGGAAAAAAGTACTCAAAGGGAGATAATAAAAAGTAAACACAAGGAAGAAAAGATAACTCGTGAGCAATTTTGTCGAATGCAGCCAGTCATATCACAAAATCTGCGAACTTATACTGTATTGATATCTCAGTTGATGGAATAAACATAATTGAGTGGTCAACGCAGTACTGAATAATGTCTCAGACGGTATGTACAAATTTATAAGGTTTAATTAACAAAAAATTGTGTTTTCATCCAGGAAGGTTAATTGAAAATCGAAAGTAGAAATTTGGAGAAACAAATTTTACGACTTTTACGCACTTTTAGAACTTTTAGGGAACGACCATGGTTTTTTTCCTATAACATTCTCATCTGTTTCTATTTGACAACAAATATTGTGGTCTGACAAGCAGATGACAAAAAAATATACTGAATCCAGATTTCCCCCATACCTTATTATTAAAGTGTTAAATTGCTTTTAAAAAAATAATTTGATTGATAGCGTCCAAAAACAAACGCGAAACAAATTCTGACTCAAAAAAACCATAACCCCCCTAAAGTTAAATGGTAAATATAAACTCCCTTATTAAACATCAGAACATGTTAAAGTGTTAATTGAAAAAAATAACCAAATTATTATATTGATCGATAAATTATACTGTGTGTCACACAGAAATAATGGTAATTTAAAATACAATAAAACTGGATTTTTAAAATAATTTAATGAATAAATACTAAGTTTGGACCGCAGGCAATGGTAAATGCTCTCCTTCTTTCTGAGAGGCAGGGTCTTTACTATATTGCATGAAGCAGGCACATGTGCTCCTAACATGTCCTTATATATAATAATAATAATAAATTCTTTATTTAAAGAGGATAACTCAATTAGAAGTAGTCTAATTTTCATTGAGGCCCTCAAACAAAATACATGTATACAGTTAACATTCATACATTCGATTCATACATTAAAATACAATATATATTACTAGTATATACTCAAACATACAAATGGCAATAAATGGCAATAATTGGTAAAGTTTTGATTAAATTTTCTTATTCTTACAATAAAAGAAAGAAAACAAATTATTCGACTTGCATAGAATTTTCAAGAAAATGATTATAACAATGTTTCTTAAATAATTCCACATTTTGACAATTTTATATTTTGAGTGGTAAATTATTCCATACCTTTGTTGCAGAATAATGAAAAGATTTTTTATAAAAATTTGTGTTTGGTCTTGGAACAAATAGATCATTATTATAGACAGATCGTAAGTTGTGGTGTTGCACATCATTGATATTTAGCATTGTTAAGTAATCAGGTGTTAGTCCATTTACAATTTTATACATTAGAATTGATTGTTGGTATTTTATTCTTTTTGTAAAAGATAACCATTTTAAAGATGAAAACATAAAATTAGATGGAACAGAAATATCGCATTCAAGTATAATTCTTGGGTGGTGCCTCCCCACCCTTCCCCCGTTTCAAACCCAAGACCTGTTATATATATTAAATGCTTCATTCATATTCATTACAAATTAATATGTGGCAATAAATTTAAACCTTTAAACATTAAAAATAGTTTCAGCATTACAATTAAGGGGTGGACAGGAGGGTCCTTTTAACCCACTTCCTGGTCCTGTAATACCATGAATACGAGCAGACGGGGATTACATGGATGAAATTAGTTTTCAAAGGTACCAGGCTCATAATTTGATACGCCAGACACGCGTTTCGTCTACATAAGACTCATCAGTGACGCTCAGGCCAAAATTAAAATTAAGTTTGTTTCCCCTTACCCGACCGACCCTCTAAAAATCCGCCGACTGAAATAATTTTTTTTCGAAAATCACGTTGTTGTTTTTTTTTTCGAATGGTCCGTATTTTCAACATTCTGCGAAATCATTGTCGCCCGTGTGTTTGCAGCAAAGGGTAAACAACGTATGCAAGGATACTGAAACTGGAGTGGAATAATGTTTTAAATAAATGCATCCAAGCAATCTTAATTACTATTCCATTCTAGCTACGCCTCCAATAACAAAATGCGTAGCGAGAATGGCCGAGTAGTTACGATTGCGCATCCGAGCTCACCCTTGAGCTTAAATGTTAGGCCCGGTGTTTCTGTCGTGTTTGTGGTTAATCCCTGAGTTCGCCTTTATCAGTGGTTGACTCAATAAGTTGTATATTGGCGTGCTATTTATGCTATTTTGTTTCATTTCGTATGTGATATTGGATCATACACTAGTTGTCTTTGGATAAAATAGTAGTTGATTTTTTTCGAGCTCAGCATCATATTGTGTTGTGAAAAGTCGAGATGACTATACCAGCTAATGCTTTGATAAAAGTTCTTGTAAGTTCTTATGTCTTTTATAAGCTATAATGGGCTGATGATTAAATATGGTCACACATTCAGGGTTTTGTGAAATAAGATGCCAGTTTTTCATTATTATATTTTTAGTTTCTGTATAGATGGGTTGAATTTTGTTAACATTACTAGCGGTTGCTCCCGTTTCGCTGGGCGATGTGTTAGCAATGTTTCCCTTTCTGTATTTTGTGTTTGATAAAAAAAATCGTTGATTTCAGATATTTGATATCCTCGTTTGAGCTTCTTACTGTTTTTTTAAGATCAGTTTTGCTGCTTGTGTTTCTGAGATACCTCAATACTTCACCCTTGATAAATCCTTTCAATGAAAACACTTTTTGGGTTTGAGCAGTGTCTGTGCAGATATTGATATGTTTCAGTTGGTTTGATATTGGTTTTAATGTCTTGTATCATACTATGCCTTCATTAAAGAATCTTTCTCCTTTGTATAATTATGACAGTGTCTAAGAATATTGTTTCATTACAGGAAAATTCGTAGGTGAACTTCAACTATCATTATCATTTTGTTTCTCTGTGTTGAAAGCGTTGTAAAATGTGTTCAAGAATTAACAAACATTGTAAGGTCTGCTAACTCAGCGAATGCTGATCCGCACATAGGCACGCCCAAGGTTTCATGGTAAAGTTTATTGTTAAAAATAAATTCATAGTTTTCTAGAATAAGCCTTAATAGGCGTAGTCATACTCGCTTGGATCACGGTTTGTGGCTTCTAGTATTTCCTTAAATGAAAAACAAGTGTACATATTTTTTGCATCGAATGTTACTAGGTAGCAGTCTCGTTGGGGTTTTATATTTTCAATTGAATTAATAAAACTATAAGAAAGATATAGAACCGTGTCTCAATTTATATGTGGTCTACTCTAAGTCACAAAGACATTGATATTTACAAACATTTTCTAGTCTGAAATTGTAAGGTCTTCTAGTCATGCATTATACGTTATACAGTATGTTGTTTTAGTATCAATAAAGTTCAATTTGTTGTTTTTCTGTGTTTTCCTGTATGTTAGATATATTTAAGGGATTTTCTCTAAAAAAAAAAAAAAAAAAAAAGCCTACCTACCTACCCACTTCCAAAATGGTGGGTAGGGTAAGGGGAAACAAAGATATTTTTAATTGCGGCCTCAGATCAAAATAGTTAGAAAGCCAAACAAGTATAAAGTTGAAGAGCATGGAGGCAAAGGCAGGAAATTTGGCATGTCACAAGAAAATCGATATGATAAGGATATTAATTAAGCCTTGCAAAAAGCCAATTACCAACCTTTCAAAGAGTTTGCAAGGGTTTTAATTAACGTGCAGAGGGCATGGAACTCTATTATCTATTTAACACAAAACCTCTGATTAAATGTCATCATTCTGACCAGATATTCATGATATTGCTGCGTATTTAGACACCCACAAGCACTAGACATTTTATAAATAAATTAATACCTTGTTCGAGTTTTATATACAGGCAGAATAGGGTTACAAACACCTCCAACAAATCAAAACTGTAACATGGTTATGGGAAAGTAGCTCACATAGTTGATAGAAATTGTGATAAAATTTCTGATTGAATTTGATAATTTTTGTTCAAATTTTAGACCCCGGCTAAACCCAGTCCATTGTATGAAAATCAACGACTGAATTTGTCTAAATTCCTTTTGGACGTAAAACATTTTTCATCAAAAGATGAACAGGCTAAAGCAGAAGATATGTATAAACAACTAATGGGAAAAGAAAAGGAACTGAAAGACATGCTTAAAGAGAAGGTGAAAATTTAAATAAGACGTGTGAACCATATTATTTATATTGATACTTACATGTATATATACGTACATGTATGTATGTTTTGATATTTCCGTAAGATTGCATTTTATATAATTTAAAAGATACATGTTGTCTAATTTCATAAGGTGGAGATCATAGTAACCACAATGTTTAAACCATGAAAATTCGTTCTTGTCTTCATGAGTATTTATTCCTACATAATTATGATAATCAAAATCGTTCTCTAATTATTAATCAACACTTTATGTAATTCTAGTTATAACTTCATTCTTGAATTGGTCAGTTACAAAATGTATATTACATTCTTATTCTTGCCCAGGTACTCTGAATACCAAAAATGAAAACAGCTACTTAATGGGTATATCTACCAAGGTTGCTGCAATGTCATTGCCTATTGTAGATTCATTTATTTCCGTGGGTACTAATTTTCATGGGTTGTCATGGTTGTGGAAAACTTGCATTTTCAAGGATATTAGATTTCATGGTTTTGCCAAAGTTTGCATAAATTATTAATTCCTATAGAAAATTTGCCAATGGTTGGGCATTGGAAATGACTGTTCCTGGGTATCCAGGAAATCCACGAAAATTGGAATCCAATGAATAATAATGAAACCACAGTATTTATTGTTATAATTTGTTTTGTGTTAATATAATGAAAATTGCACAGCAACCAGTTACCCAACAACACAAACAAAGCATCTTGAAAAGACATCTACTGATAGTGAACAGGAACAATAATTAATCTGCAAACTGGATATTTTATGATAATTTATTGCAATAATGATTTAATAAATGTATTGATATAAATTGTTAGGTACCTGTGTCTGATATGCCAAGAAATTTTACTTTGAAAGATTTCACTGATCAAGTGAAAACCAACTCTTTGACTAAAGCCTTGAAACTACACTTTAATAATGGGAGAAATGATAGAGCAGCTTGGGATTACATAACCTTGACTCAGTCTGCTATGGAGCTGGATGAACGCAAAAATCAAGCAGCAGTAAGTAACTATTATTTTGAAGGCGTAACCTTAGTATTATATACCACATCCCCTTTGTCAAATTTTTATTGAATCTGTATATAATGTTCATGGTGTGTTCAGAATCATGGACATGCATGTGCAATTCCTCACATTATCATCAGTCTCGAGATAATTCTTTTCCCCCATCAAATATAAACATGATTAAATTAAGATGCAAAAAACTTCAGACAACTAGGAGACAAGGAAAATCCAAAAACAGACAAAACCATGGTAAAATAGAAAAATGTATGAAATGAGAAACAGCAGTCTACAAAACATGTACTTAACACATAAAAGAAGAGACTGGTCGCCAGCATCACAAATGGCTTAAACAACTATAGGACAGTCCATGATCTCAAGTGCTTTGAAGAAAGCAGATACTGATCCACTAGTTTCACACAACTACTAGAGATGAGTCTGGATTCGGTATTCTTAAATGTTTTAAGCCATTTTTCTCTATTCCTTATATATTTTGCCCATTATTCTCTATTCTTCAAATTTTAACACCTCATTATTCTCTATTCTTTATTTGTCATGTTTGTTGGTCTATTTTTCTCTATTCTTTATTTTTTTAGCCCATTGTATTTTCTATTCTTTTATATTTTAACACCCGATTTGTCTATTCTTTATTTGTTGGTCTATTTTTCTCTATTCTTTTTTTTTTTGGCCCATTAATCTCTATTCTCTAAACTCCATCCAAACCCTCAGAAATATGACCATTTTATCCTGTGGTTGTTTTTCATATAAACAAAATATATGAAAGGGAGACAACAAGCACAGTGTGAACAGTGGAGATGGAAATTTTTTTCTGTAATGTGTTTGGAAAGAGCTAGAGAGCCACTCATAGCTATAAACTGATTTGGCTCATATAAGTCTTGATAAAAGTATTTAACAATGTTATAATATTGTTAATTATTAGGATCTTCATTCAAGAGTGTAGGAATGCCCTTTACCATCAGGCGTCAAACAGTAATTTACGGCTACTGTTAAGTTGAGGCAAATGAGGCAAATACCTCATGTTGGAAATTTAAAAAAAAAATTTATAAGTTGAAACAAAAGCTTGTGTTCATATCAAATTATTTTCACGGCGAGTGTCTTTTAAGAAGCAAGTTCTGTTCACAATTTGACGTCGCCCCATTTTTTTTTCGGGATCCATGTTTCTCGTTTATTTTTAGTTTTCAGTGTTGATTGTCTATTGTTTGTCATTTTGTGTCTAATATCTGTTCCCAGGGTTGTCTTTTGGTCATTGATTGCCCTTCTTTTTGACTATTCTCCTAGTGTTAAATTTCATTTGTAAATTAGTAATTTTGTTTTAAACTTGAGTTTTATTATATTTAAGGACCTTTTGTCTAACTTTTAAAACTACTTTAAATTGTAAAAATATTTGAAATTACTCGCCTTTTTGTTCTTAGGTGGCATTAAGCAAACACCAATCAATCGATCTTTATGACTATGGCTTCAGTATGTTTTCTAATATTCCTTGTTGTGAACGTTCATGCTCTGCTTTGCGTAGATTGAAGACTTGAGAAAGATCTACAATGACTAGTGAATGGTCATGTGTGGTTTGGCAATGTTACATGCCCTCCGATGTCCAGATATTGTTCGAGAAAATGTTTTGAGAGATACGATGCTACCAGACATAGAAAAAATTGTTGTTTTTTCATGGAAAATTAAACTTTATATTAAAGAATACAAAACTGGCTCTCTTTTCTGCAAATAAAACAAAAAAAGCTGACATGGGTTAAATTAAAGTGAGACAACCCAATCTCCAGGATTCAAATCATTTAAAAAGAAAATAATGTATTGCCATATGACCTTTTACATTGAAGGGCTAAACTTGCATCATGCCCTAAAATAGAAAAAAAAAGGATATGGAGTAAATGTGCATGGGACAAAATCGTACACAATACATAGAAAACATAGAAAATTATCAATGAACAGGACTTTTATTCCTGTTCTTCATCTTTACAGTCGCTGGATGGTCTTCAACAATGAACGATTTATTCATACCCTACATCAAGGTCAAGACGGCCCTTAGAGTCGACTTAACCGGTACTTAAAGTATTGTACTGTGAATAAATTTTAAGTCACAAAAATATAACACCTAAGTCTAAACACAATACAAGACCAGAACAGACAGATCCGACATTAATCAGCCAGTATACATATTAAAACTGCACAAAAATGTAGCAATGAGGTCTAAGAACAGTTTTCCTAAGTCTACTCTGAGTGTAGCCTTTTATTACAGTTAGGAACTACATCAAAAAGTAAAATAACAAAAAGACCAAGTTGTAATTGAAATGTGTTAGAAAAACCGAAATTCACAAAGTTATATCAATGATAATCAGTCCCCTTTTAACTTTATTTGAAAAAAACATAATTGACAGGTATATGTCATTCTGCAAGCATAAACTCAATAACAAAAACAAAAAAACAGCAGCCACACACTTGACTATGCAAATTACGATTTTTGCTTTATCCTACATATCAGTCTTTTGATGTTGTCCCTAAAAACTAAAAAGTCTTACACTGAATCTATATATTTTGCTTTAAGACCTGAATATTGCCGAAAAAATAATTAAAACTAAAGTTGCGTTTCAGATTAAGAAAGGGTCTGGGAAACCCGCAGAATGCACGATTTTGCATCATTTTTACCAGAGCAGACCCCTCGCCGAAAAAATTTTCGAATATATTTTGCCTCACTTTGAAAAGAGGCTAGTTACGGCCCTGGAAGGTATACCTTTATGTCCTCCCTCCTTATTTCAAGGTCATGGGCACTAATTCTAAATTTGTTTAAGGGCATATGATACAGTTACAGGGAGGTAATGACATGGCTAACATAAAATGTCAAACTGTGACATATAGAAAAAATAGCTTTTTCCAGGTGTGGTATTTTCTCGCTGTGATGAAGACCCTTTGGAAGCCTTGGGCTGTTCTCTGCTCTGTGGTCGAGTTGTTGTCTCTTTGACACGATCCCCATTTCCAGTCTCAATTTTATTTATGCCAATTGTCATAAAAGATTGACTGCATGAGTGGGATCAAAACTGTATCGTATGCCCTTACATGTAACTCATTTATTTTCTTATACAATTTTCTGAAAGTATATAATTTTCGAAGCCTATATATTATTCTTGAAAAAGCTATTAGTTCTTTATTTATAATTACCAAAATTTGCAGTGCCAGCTTCCTATGCATTTTGACTATTTATCTCTTTTAGCCAACAGAGACTGCTAAAAAGACACAAGTTAATCCTAACCCCAGTGAAAAAGAACCAACACCAGGCACAGCTGGTGACCCATCAGAAACAGATGCACCAATGGTTTGTTTTTATTATTTATTATTTATCTTTCAAAGTAGTATCATACCTTATGCAATTTAAACTTTTTGATAAATTTAGAAAATTGTATTAGATTTTTTTTAATTTTAATATACCTCTAGATCTGATTATTTCAGATAAAGGATTAATGTTTTCAGCTCACTAGGCCAAAAGGGTCAAAAGGCTATTCTCATCACTTGTAGTATGGCCTGGATTGCCCTCATCTGATTCTTTAACTTTTAAAAAACCTTCTCCTCTGCCCCACTGGGCCAATTGGAATCAAATTTAGTCACAATTATCATTTGGGTTTTTGGTTTAAAAAAAAAACTCTTAAAACTTCCTTACCAACCAATATGGCAAAGATGCCTAAAAACAGAACATAGGGGTAAAACTGCATGTTTTGTCTTTTATTTTGAAAACCATTATAGATAGAGATAATATAAAACAAGCAGAATTTTCAAAATGTTTAGATCTATTCTCCCCATTTACACCAAAACTGTCTGAAGACTCCTTAAGGATGCTCATGATTTTGACTTTTGGTCAAATATTCGGAATACTCTAGTTTTTGTCTCGCCTTGACGGAGTCAAAAAGCGAGACATAGGTATGCTGTATCGGGCAACGGCGGCGGCGTCAACAATGTATTAGTTTGTGATTAGGTCTAGTTTAAGGTGAACCACTAGTGGTAGGTCAATGATATTTGGTATGCAGTTGTATTAGCATTGGCATATCTCATTCCCATGGCAATTATTTGGCTCCGCTCCCTCAGTCATGGTCTATTGACTTTGAAACTTTTGCTTAGTTTACATGTATTAGTTTGTGATTAGGTCAGTTCATGGGGAGCCACTAGTGGTAGGTCAATGATATTTGGTATGCAGTTGTATAAGCTTTGGCATATATCATTTCCATGGAGATTATTTGGTCCCGCCCGGCAGTCATGGTCTATTGACTATGAAACTTTTGATTAGTTTACATGTATAAGTTTATGATTAGGTTAGTTCAAGGGGAACCATTAGTGGTAGGCCAATGTTAATTGGTATGCAATTGTATAAGCATTGGCACATCTCAGTCCCATGGAGAATATTTGGCCCCGCCCCCTCAGTCATGGTCTGTTCACTTTGAAACTTTCGTTTAGTTTACATGTATTAGTTTGTGATTAGATCAATTAAGATGAACCGCTAATGTTAAGTCAATGATATTTGGTATGCAAAGTTATTGGCATTTGCAAGTCTCGTTTCCATGTAGATTATATAGCCCCACTCCCTCAGCATGGTTCATTGACTTTGAAACGTTAACATAGTTTACAAGTCAATGTTTGTGTTAAGTTTGTTGAGAGGGAACGACTTATGATAAGTCTATGGTATTTGGTATGCAGTTGTATTAGCATTGGCACATCTCATACCCATGGAGATTGATTTGCCATGTACCTTCAGTCATGGTTCATTGACTTTTAATATTTGCATAACTTACATGTTAAAGTATTGCTATTTTACTTTCAACGTTTGCATTATCAAAAGTACAAAAAGGCCAGACATATCTCTGTGTTAACAGTTTATTTCTATGTAGTGCCAATAAAAATTTTGCCTGCTATCCCCTACTTTTCTTTCCATAATCTTATCATGCTTATTGCATATAGTTTGAAATGCTATATTCCAAAATCTTATATAATTCTTGGTTATTTTTTCATAGGTTTTGAAAGAAAAAGGTGCCAATGTTAAGTGTATGAAAAATCTAGAGAGAATTATTTCTTTCCAAATTTTCAATTGATTATATCTCAAAAACAAGGACACGGACATGTCATTTTTATGTACTTTTCAAGTTCCGTTATTTATATTTTATCAATTTATAACAGTTTTTAAAAAGCTTGTTATTTTAAAACAGAGTTAGGAGTTATTTCTCTTATATGAAATTTTTATGCCCCCGTCTTAGCGTAGGGGGCATTAAGTTTTACCCTTGTCCGTCCGTACGTACGTCCCAAAATTAGTTTTCATTCTCTAACTTTAGTTTGCCTCAACCAAATGTTATGAAACTTATACACGATGCTTATTACCACAAAACACAGATCAAGTTTGAATTTTGGTGGCGTCACTTTTAACCTTCTAGAGTTATGCCCTTTACAAATGGAAAAATTGTTAAATTTTTCGTTTCCGTTCTCTAACTTGAGTTTGCCTCAAATAAATGTTATGAAACTTATACACAATGCTTATTACCACAAAACACAGATCAAGTTTGAATTTTGGCGTCACTTTTACCGTTCTAGAGTTATGTTCCTTTACAAATAGAAAAATTGCTGAATTTTTTGTTTCTGTCCTATAACTTAAGTTTGCCTCAAATAAATGTTATGAAACTTTTAAACAATGCTTATAACCACAAAACTCAGATCAAGTACACATTTGGGTAGCGTCACTTTTACAGTTCTTAAGTTATGTCCCTTTATAACGTTATATGCAAGCGGGGGCATCATCTGTGTCCCATGGACACCTCCCCATTCATTTTCTATTTTTTTCAATATTTCTTGTTTTTTTTTAACTAAAAATTTAAAGATGGCGAAAAAGATCAGCAAGAGAGTCTACAAATTTGTATCTAAAAATTTCACCCTCATGACCAAATTCTAAGTCAACTCCTTAAATGATTATTTTTTTTTCGCATTTGGCATTTTAATTACAACTGCAAAGAAGTATGGCGATTTCGCTGTGGTTGACATCTTCCGAAGACAATTGGTTTCCAGACAATAACTAATAACTTGAGTATTAGTATATGAATCTCTATGAAATTGTAACCCAAGGTGCCATACCAAAAAAGGAAGGTTGGGATTGACTTTTGGGGTTATGGCGCTAACCATTTAGAGAAAAGGGACCAAAAAGGCACAAAAAACAATACTTTTCTAAATGTACAAATTGTTTATTTCTTGACTAATTTCAATGAGATTTAAAACAAAGTCTTTAATGGTTGGAGTTCTTTGATTTGCTGAATCTAACTTTGTATTTATATATGTCCACAATGAGGTTCAAAGGGTCCAAAATTAAACTATCTTTTATTTCATAAAAATTGAACTATTGGAGTTCTTTAAACATGTTAAAATGCCGAATCTAACCGTGTATTTAGATTTTTTTAATTTAATCCACATTTAGGTCCAAAGGATCCAAAATTAAACTTTGTTTGATTCCAACAAAAAAGAACTTCTTGCAGTTCCTTGATATGTTGAATCTAACTGATTACTCAGATTTTGAATTTTGGGCCAGGTTTTCAAATTGGTTCACATTGATGTCCAAAGGGACCAAAATTAAACTTATTTTAATTTTAACAAAAGTTGAATTCTAGGGGTTCTTTGATATGCTGAATCAAAAATGTCTATTAAGATTTTTGATTATGGGCCCAGTTTTCAAGTTGGTGGAAATTGGGGTCTAAAATTAAAATTTGTTTGATTTGATCAAAAATTGAATTTTTTGATGTCTTTGATAAGCTGAATTTAACAATGTATTTAGATTTTTGAAAACTCTTGCTTACAAACAAATCCTGAAAGATCTGACAGCATATTTCAAGCTGCTGGTAAAAACTATTTGTAAACTGTAGAAAAATGTAAATGAAAAACAAAATTATGACTGAGCACCCCTTATGCTTTTTTTTTCTTAGAAAAACAACCAATTAATTTTGTGAGGCCGTAAGATTTAATTAACAATTATATTGATATATGTAGGATACTGATAATGTTGAAGACATGTATGGGTTTGGGTATGAAGAAGAAATGGAAGATTTTAAAAAATCAGTCATCTTAAGTTTGATTTGGATGAATCATGATTATTTTGACTCAAAGATTTTGTCGAAGGCACAAGGCGAATACAAATATTACAAGATGTTAGAAAGGGAATGGAAACAACAGGTAAAATTATAATATTTATATTTATAGAAATATTTTTTGTTTTGAAAAAAAACATTTTCTTTATGATCAAAGTTGATTCTCTGTTGAGGAAACATGTTACATTCATTTAACAAAATACAGTTTAATAAATATTTAAGATAACTATGTTGTCAAAGAAATTATCTGTGAAGGCTGTCAATTTTGTCCGAAAAAAAAAGAAGCTTTCAATAAATTAATACACCAAAACATTTTCTGAGCTGTCAGTTTGGTATTTAACAGATACTTTTAATACATTTCTTGAAGGAGTAGGTTCACAAAGGGTTGAAATTGGCCCTTACATTTTGATGTTTTTTTTATCAGGTCTACATACTACAAATTTTACAAAACAAATTTATGAAAGAAGACAAAAAGTTAAGAAAAAATTCTTTCATGCCATGCTCAATGCTCATTTTAACATGGATAGGCATCATATTTGTCAATACCTTTATACTGGGCTAAAGTGAGGTGAAAAATGGTGACAAATATGATGCCTACCCATAAAGCGAGGTGAAAAATGTTGACAAATTTGATGCCTACCCATGTTGAAATGAGCACAGGGCATGGCATGATAGAATTATTTCGATTCTAATAATTTCGATTCTAATATGAAAATTTAGAACTTTTACACTTTGAAGTGGACCTATAATTCACCTTCAAAAGGCAGCCATTTTTTGATTTGGAGAAGCCAAAACGATAACGAAAATAAACTGTTTCACGATAAAAAACGAACAGATACATGTAAACTTACTTTTAGAAGGATTTTATTTAATTTCCTAGCAAGCAACACCAACAGATCCATTTTGATCTCAGATGTTGTTAAAAATACAGCTGATGTTGCAATTTCAATTGTGTTTTATTCGAATTAGAACATGGCTTTGTTTCTAAAGTGAAAGAAGAACGTTGCGTTAGAATTCAAAATAACTTTTTTTTGGCAGATCACATTACAAATTAGTTAACATGCTAAATTTTGATTTAAGAAAAAAGGAGAAATGAAGGATGGGTCTGTAGCCCAGTTTAAAGAATTGCCCAAAAACAGACCAATATATGCAGTTATTACTACAATACTGGATCAGGCAAGGAATACTGATCATGCAAAGGCTGCAGCAGGGGAATATGTTAGACTGAGGAACATGGAAAAAACAATGGCAACAAAGCAGGTAAATATTTTATTTTGTGTTGTTTGCATGCTGTCCTGTTGATGTACATCCCTCATTCCTTTTAGTTTTATTCATAATAACCCTAAAAAGTTCCTATGGTCAAAGATCTCGACTGCTGATAAATGTGGCTTTCATTGATGTACGTTCATTGTGTTGTCCAGTAGTGGCCAAGTTTTATATTTCACAGCTATTTACAAAAATGTTCAAGTTCACATATGACAGTTTAGAAGAAAACATTTCGACCAAATTTTCGAAGCCTGTTTGTGAAATTTTTTATTGTTGAAAAATTAGTAATTTACTACATTTTGGAAGCCCAGTGACGATATATATATATATTTAAAGTGTAAGGCATTTAAGTGACCATACAAACATAATCATATAGGTCCCCCGTATTGATATAATAATGTCAGTTGTGTAGTTATCAAAAGTTTTCAAATATAATGCCTAAAGGGGTAGCGGTTGATACTAAATGTTAACTGATTCTAAAAATTCTATGATACTATGTTGATGAACATGAAAATACATACAGATTATAAGATTAATGCTAGCAACCATATATAATTATAACAATATTGGAGCCTGATTTTCCTCCTCAAAAAATTTATTTAATCAATATCATTTCATTCTAGATTCCAAAAGATATTGAATTAGATGATAGAGATCCAAATTCTACCCTTAAAAAGATGGCTGAAAGATACAGAATGCCTAGCAGTCGTTCCTTCAGACAGGCCGCAGAATTTAAAATGGTTCCTTTGGAAGAATATAAACAACTTAGAGGAACAATAGAACATCAAAGAAACCAGATTTCAGAATTAAGCAGCAGGTAGTTTCATGTACAGTCCAACCTCGTTGTGTCGAACTCAGTTGTGTCGAAAAACTCGGATGAGTCTAAGTAATTTCTGGTCTTATCAATCCATAAAGGGTCATAACAAAAAGAGGCACACTGTTCAAAATATCGAGTTTTCACAAATCTCATGCCGTATTTCATTTATTCAAAATTTCTGATGACACAATCAACCTCGGATGAGTCGAACCTTGGATAATTTGAATATTTTTGTCCGGGCCCTTCGACTTTGACATAACGAGGTTCAACTGTATTTGACAAGCTTCACAACAAGGTTTTAAAATTTTTTAAGTTTTTTGTCTAGCAGCAATTATAGCTGCTTGATATCTGTATTATGTGATGTGGGTGTTTAATTTCATTTTAATACTGAAACATCAGAAATTAATGCTTTCTTTTGTTTAATATGAATTAAAATATATAAAAGAATGATCATCATTATTATTTAGATACTTAAATTTTGGTACCGTAATCTCGAAGATACATTGACCATTTTTAAGTCAACACTTTAGAATTTATTATTGTTTGTTCTAAATATCTACACATAATTAATAAACATGATTTAAGAAAAATAGGACACTAAATTGGCCTTTATTGGATAGTACAGATGATTTAAATATTAATAAAAGACTTCAGTACAATCCATTTTGTCTTCTGAGTTCCATCCTGGTGAATCACTTACATCAGGCTTTTTTCTTAAACCCGAAGACTTTTATTTACCCTGACACTTTATAATCTTCTATATGAGTTAATTCCTCTTCAAGGATCCTAATCCCACATTACCTATGGTAACCTTCTGCTTGTGGTCAATTTAGTTGTCTTTACTTTTAGTTTGATTAAAATATATAATCTTTTATATGTTTTGGAGTTTATTATGACGTCAATTTTCACTGAATTAGTACGTACACATTTTTGTTTAGGGTCCAGTTGAAGCCCACCTCTGGGTGCGGGATTTTCTCGCTGTGCTGAAGACCCATTGGTGGCCTTCAGCTGTTTTCTGCTCTTTGGTCGGGTTGTTGTCTCTTTGACACATTCCCCATTTCCATTCCCAATTTTAAGGTGGTACCTAACACTACAGGGAGATAACTCTGTAAAAATCAGCTAAACGTTTTAATCATGTTGTATTGTTAAGGAAATATCAAGATTCTCAATGATCAAAATTAGTGTTTGTCAAACTGCTATATAACCAATGAAATTTTTCTGATAAAGTGCGTGGTTCAAATTATTTGAAATTTTTATATTTTTGTCAAAGGGTCAAAGTAAACATTTTGTCAAATTTTTAGGAAAATTAAACGGGCCAAATTAGTATTAGTCAAGGTGTTGGGTACCACCTTAAATAACTTTATCAGGCATTTATTCACCCTTTAATAGACATTAGCCATTATATTAAAATGGGGGATTTTGTATCTTCAAGGTTGAGTGGAATCACAAGCCAGCAAATAGCAGATGGAGAAATATTTACAGAGATTGGAGACCAAAATAAACCAAGAAGGCTTGGTCAGAGATTCTCTGAGGTGTTTGAGGATACATGGTCAAATGCTTATGAAGTACTGAAACCTAAAAAACCTGAAAGTAAGAAAGAGGATGAGAAGGAAGAAATGGATGAGAAAACAATTGATATTTTACAAAATGTTGTAAAGGTATGTAGGTGCTATTAATAGCTTTGAATATTGTACACTGCTATTGGCCCCAGACCACAATTAATGATCCCACTTTTCGTTGTCCATGAATATAGTTCCTTTTAATTAGAGTGTTTTTTTTCTTAATTTTTTTTCTTTCCTTTCCTCACTCATTTCATAGTTTTTTTTTTGGATGTAAATGAAAGAAGAGAGGTGAAATAAACATTTGGATGTTGTATTTTAACTGATTTTGATATGGAAAGAGTGATTAGGCCAGGTGCAAAAAGGTGATATTTACAGTTTTCGGAACATCTCTTGACTTGTCCATAGGGGTATGGATGTGTATTGGCTAAATTTGTAAGATACTGGGGAGCAATCTTTATGAATGTTGGATAAATTGTTTGGACTAGTACTGTACTTTACACACACAAAATATTTTACAAAAAGATTCGGTGCATTTTTTTTTAATGAAACAAAACGTTATAAAGAACTAATAGAGAATTTAATTGTGGTCTGTGGCCTCATATTGATTTAAGGTGGTACATAAAACTACAGGGAGATAACTCTGTAAAAATCAGCTAAACCTTTTAAGTACGTTCTATTGTTAACGAAATATTAAGCTTCTAAATGATCAAAATTAATGTTTGTCAAACTGCATCCAATGAATTTTTTTCCAATAAAGTGGTTCAAGTTTTTTGAAATTTTTATATTTTTGTCAACGGTCAAAGGATAAAGGTAAATATTTTGTAAAAATTTTATTAAAATTAAACGACCCAAATTGAATTTAGTCGAGGTGTTTTGTACCACCTTAAAATCACATAATAATTTATTTCAAAGTTTAATATGCTAGCTCATTTACCGAAAAAGACTCACATTTTCTTGTGTCCTCCAAAAATAGTTTTGGCATATATATAGGAACTATTCTGTTCCCTCTGTCTGTCGGTGAGTGGGTTGTACACAGATTTTTTTGTATACCCTGGAAAAATCCCATAATTATTTATTTCAAAGTTTAAAGAAATTTGAGATTGAGAAACCTCCATTTTTGCATCAATTGCAACAACAACTGATTACTAGATGTAATGAGTTTTTTCAGAATTAATTTCAGGTATTAAAGGGGCACTAGCTACGAGATAAATAAAAAATCTAAAGTGTGATTTTTTTTGTTTTATCATTAATGAAAGTGAAATAGTGAAATAATTATTCGCTTTTAGCAGCCAGTATGGTTCAGTTTTGTCAAAATAAGCTAAGAAACATTGATGATGAATTATTCACTTGCAAGTGAATATTCGACCTCATTGAATCCGTATTCATGTGAACTTCAATTTAACCCCGTAGCTAGAGATGGATAACGCATGAATTGCCCATGTAAAGTTATTTAAAGGAAAAGAATGTCAACATTGAAAGTGAAACAAAGGTAAATCATTTGATTGACTGATTCGATCCTCAAAAAAACATTCTTATACAGGTAAAAACGATGATAAACATATTTTTTAATCTATAATATGAAATTAAACAGACCATGAAAAATCTAATTGCATGATTTGCTTAATCTATTTATATCTATATTTATGTTTATATTGCTTATATGGTCATCGGACGTTTTTCGGGGGTCAACTCGATAGTTAATTAGATGGCGTCTAGACTAAAATACACACGAAACAGCTCATGACCTGCAAACTGTTTATTTAAATAATCGATGAACATGATGTTTGACAGCTACAATGTAGTGCCCCTTTAAAAAATAAAGAAAAAACTGTGGTAAAACTTGTTTCTTTTTTTATCACAAAGTTTTGGAAATGATTTTTCCTAGGATTTGAAATTGATATACCGGTACTTCTATACTACTTAAGGAAGAGACCGATTTCATTGAGCCCCAACTCCTCTGAAACCATACAAAGTTGGATATATTTGTGATATGATGTACAAATGTAGTTTTTTTACTTCCTAAATTTGTCCTAAATCTTTTTTCCACAGAAAACACCAATTTTTAGCTCACCTGGCCCAAAGGGCCAAGTGAGCTGTTCTCATCATTTGTCGTCCGTCGTCGTTTTCCGTCGTCGTTAGCTTTTTACAAAAATCTTCTCCTCTGAAACCACTGGGCCAAATTTAATCAAACATGGCCACAATCATCATTATTGTATCTAGTTTAAAAAATGTGTCTGATGACCCCGCCAACCAACCAAGATGGCCGCCATGGCTAAAAATAGAACATAGGGGTAAAATGTAGATTTTGGCTTATATCTCTGAAACCAAAGCATTTAGAGTAAATTTGACAAGGATAAAACTGATTATCAGGTCAAGATCTATCTGCCCTGAAATTTTCAGACAAATCTGACAACCTGTTGTTGGGTTGCTGCCCCTGAATTGGTAATTTTAAGGAAATTTTGCAGTTTTTTGTTATTATCTTGAATATTATTATAGATAAAGATAAACTGTAAACAGCAATAATGTTCAGCAAAGTAAGATCTACAAATAAGTAATCATGACCAAAATTGTCAGTCGACCCCTTTAGGAGTTATTGCCCTTTATAGTCAATTTTTAAAAATTTTTCATAAATTTTTGTAATCTTTTACAAAAATCTTCTTCTCAGAAACTACTGAGACAAATTTAACCATACTTGGCCATAATCATTATAAGGGTATCTAGTTTAAAAAATTTGTCTGATGACCCCTCCTTCCAACCATCATGGCCGACTTGGTTAAAAATAGAAAATAGGGGTAAAATGCAGTTTTTGGTTTATATCTCTGAAACTTAAGCATTTAGAGCAAATCTGACTGGTGGCAAAAATGTTCACCAGATTTAGATTTATCTGCCCTGAAATTTTCAGACGAATCCGACAACCCGTTGTTGGGTTGCTGCCCCTGAGTTAGTAATTTTACAGAAATTTTACATTTTTTTGTTATTATCTTAGATATCATTATAATATCTAATATCTAATACTATTAATTATGATTTTAACCTTATTTTACATGATTTCCAAAGCATCAGTAAATACAGGTGAGCGACACAGGCTTTTGAGAGCCTCTAGTTTAGAAAATATCAAAATTTCAGGGTCCGTTATTGATCCATGTCTTATACACTTTCATTCATGCTCAGTCGGCCTACTGTCGATTTTATTTTTCATTTGTTTTAGATGGAATTTTTTCACTATATTACTCATTTTGATCCAGTGAGGCTGAGTTTTGGAAATGTCATCAGATTTTACGTAGCTCATACATTTATTGAGTTAAAACAGTAAAAAAAATACTGAAAATCACACTTTGCCACACTTTTCTTAGGGTATTTAATATTTTTATATTTAGCTTACTTTGTAGCTGATCCATCATCCAAGATGGCCGCCAGCGGGGGACTTCGTTTAACATAGGACCCTATGGACAATACATACAAATGTCTTCTTTTAGAGAACCACTGAATGGAATGAAACCAAACATGGCATGAATGTCCCTTATGAGGTGCTGACCAAGTGTTGTTACTTTGAAGCCGATCCATCATCCAAGATAATGACATTTCCAAAACTCAGCCTCACTGGATCAAAATGAGCGATCCATCATCCAAGATGGCCGCCAGCGGGGGAATTCGTTTAACATAGGACCCTATGGACAATACATACAAATGTCTTCTTTTAGAGAACCACTGAATGGAATGAAATCAAACATGGCTTGAATGTTCCTTATGAGGTGCTGACCAAGTGTTGTTACTTTGAAGCCAATCCATCATCCAAGATGGCTGCCAGAGGGGGACTTCGTTTAACAAAGGACCCTATGGACAATACATACAAATGTCTTCTTTAAGAGAACCACTGAATGGAATGAAACCAAACATGCCATGCATGTTCCTTATGAGGTGCTGACCAAGTGTTGTAACTTTGTAGCCGATCCATCATCCAAGACAGCTGTCAGCAGGGGGACTTCGTTTAACATAGGACCCTATGGACAATACATACAAATGTCTTCTTTTAGAGAACCACTGAATTGAATGAAATAAAACATGGCATGAATATTCCTTATTAGGTGCTGACCAAGTGTTGTAACTTTGTAGGCGATCAATTATCCAAGATGGCCACCAGCAGCGACTTAGTTTAACAGAGGACCCTATGGGAAATACATACAAATGTTTTCTTTTAGAGAACCACTGAATGGAATGAAACCAAACATGGCATGAATGTTCCTAATGAGCTGCTGGCCAAGTGTTGTTACTTTGTACCCAATCAATCATCCAAGATGGCTGACAGCGGGAAACTTAGTTTAACAAAGGACCCTATGTGAAATACATTCAAAAGTCTTCTTTTGAAGAACCACTGAATGGAATGAAACCAAACATGGCATGAATGTTCCTTATGAGGTGCTCACCAAGTGTTGTTACTTTGTAGCAAATCCATCAACCAAGATGGCTGCCAATGGGGGACTTAGTTTAACAAAGGACCCTATGGGAAATATATACAAATGTCTTCTTCCAGAAAACCGCTTAAAGGATTGAAACAAAACATGGTATGAATGTTTCTTTTGAGGTGCTGACCAAGTGTTGTTACTTTGTAGCTGATTTGTCATTGTCCTTACAAAGTTATTTTCTACAATTTCAATGAATTTATTGGTAATTTCTGTAAATTTTACAAAAGTCTTCTGCTTTTGATTAAATTATGGGGCCAATATTAAACCAAATTTGGACTCAATCATTATTAGGGTATCTGTTATGATTCTAATCTATTTTTACATGATTTCCAAAACCAAAGTAGAATCAGGTGAGCAACACAGGCTCTTGGAAGCCTCTAGTTCCAACTGAGATGAATGAGGTCTTTTGCATTATGTTCCTCATTTTCATCTCTTTAAAGAAATAGAATTAAATGCATTAATCTTGTCCAAATCCTTACCGTGTCCACCTTATTACTATGTCCACACTCTTCGTTTCAACACTTGCTCAATTGTATTAAATCTGTAGAACTATTAGTCTCCAGCATGTCCAGAGAAACATATATTCAAAAAAAGGATTGCCTGATTGCTATTTTTATTTTGCAGGTGATTTATGAATTCTGTAAGAAGACTGCTGATAATCAGGTCAATAAACTCATGATGGGAATGGTTCCACCCATATTTGATCCAATGAATACAAAGAAAGAGCCAGTAAGAAGTTATAGATGGTTTTGTTGAAAGCTATGCATTAGATTAAATTCTGTGTATTCATTTATTTTCGTGGATACCAATTTTCGTGGATTAAGGAAAACTTGCATGTTCGTGGATATTTAATTTCATGGTTTTGCCAAAGTCTGTGTTTAATCCTATAGAAAATATGTCATTAGTTGAACATTTAATTTCGTGGTTCACCTGTACCCACGAAGTCCACGAAAATTGGTATCCAACGAATAATAATGAATCCACAGTATATTTTCTAGCTACACAATGACCTCAGGTTTAACATTTATTTTCAGGAGTCCAAAATGAAGTACCGGTAACCAATTACTATCAATACTCAAAGAAGAGGGTGTCCTTCATCTTTGAGTTTGTTAATTTTTAGGTCATTTTTCTCTTCTTCTTGCCCACTATTCTTAACTTAGTGCCCATATTTCTGGATTCTTTATTATTTTTTTGCCATTTTTCTCTTTTCTTTATATTTTTTACCCATTATTCTCTATTCTTTATATGTTTTGCCCATTTTTAGCTCACCAGGGCCCGAAGGGCCCCATGTGAGCTTATGTCATCACTTGGCGTCCGTCGTCGTCGTCTGTCGTCGTCGTAAACTATTTAAAAAATCTTCTCCTCTGAAACTACTGGGCCAAATACCTTCAAACTTTAACTAAATGTTCCTTAGGGTATCTTGTTTATAAATTGTATCCGAAGATTTGATCCATCGACAAACATGGCCGCCATGGCTAAAAATAGAACATAGGGGTCAAATGCAATTTTTGGCTTATATCTCAAAAACTAAAGCTTTAAGAGCAAATCTGACAAGGGGGTAAAATTGTTCAATTGGTGAAGATCTATCATCTCTGAAATTTTCAGATGAATCGAACAACCCATTGTTGGGTTGCTGCCACCGAATTGGTAGTTTTAACAAAATTTTGCATTTTTTTTTATATTATTTTGAATATTATTATAGATATATATAAACTGTAAGCAGCAATAATGTTCAGCAAAGTAAGATCTACAAAAAATTTATTATGACCATAATTGTCAATTGACCCCTTAAGGAGTTATTGCCCTTTAAAGACAATTTTACACAATTTGTTCATCAAGTTTGCTAACATTTAAAAATCTTCTCCTCTGAAACTACTCGGCCAAATACCTTCAAACTTTAACTAAATGTTCCTTAGGGTATCTAGTTTGTAAATTGTATCCAAACTTTGTATCCATCGACAAACATGGCCGCCATGGCTAAAAATAGAAGGTAAGGGTCAAATGCAGTTTTTGGCTTATATCTCAAAAACTTAATCTTTTAGAGCAAATGTGACATGGGGTAAAATTGTTTAATTGGTCAAGATCTATTGGCCCTGAAATTATCAGACAAATCGAACAACCCATTGTTGGGTTGCTGCCACCGAATTGGTAGTTTTATCAAAATTTTGCAGTTTTTTTTTATTATTTTGAATATTATTATAGATATATATAAACTGTAAGCAGCAATAATGTTCAGCAAAGTAAGATCTACAAAAAAGTTAATATGACCAAAATTGTCAATTGACCCCTTAAGGAGTTATTGCCCTTTAAAGACAATTTTACACAATTTGTTCATCAAGTTTGCTAACATTTAAAAATATTCTCCACTGAAATACAGGTGAGCGATTCAGGCTCTTGAGAGCCTCTTGTTCTCTATTCTTTATATTTTTTGCCCATTTTTCTCTATTCTTTATATTTTTTATAGTACTACAAAAGAATTATGTTGGGATAATGTTATCATGTCGTCCTCATCATAAGTATCGTCATTGTCGTCAGAAGACACATTTGGCTTCCAGACAATAACTTTAGTTTAAGTGAATAGATCTCTATGATTTTACCAGAAGGTTCAATACCCACAAAGGAAGGTTGGGGGTATTTTTAGGGGTTATATAGTACCAACAGTTTAGGGTCTATAGATTTATCCTATTATTCTCTTTTCAGCAAACCCCATTCCGACAGACTGTAATAGAATAATTATGTCTGCTTAGCAGTTCGTTCTTTTGATGTCATGAAATTTATGTACTATACATTTATTAATATTTTGATTGACATGAAACTCATAAAATACATAAAACTTTTCATAAGACATTCGAATAATAATTGCATGTTATTTAATGTTCAACAATTGATTTTATACATAACAGAAAACAGAAGATAAAGAAACTATCACAAAAACAGAACAAATGGCTCAAGACTACAGAAAAGCTGTTGCCCCAGCAACCATTCCTATCCTCAAACAGGTAATTCTATGCAGTCAAATCAGATTACATCATTAAGTGTTACCTGCAGTAGGAAGAAGGCTGTGAATACATGTATATGCGAATTCCTTGTATTTTGTCCTTCTATTTTTTAGGAACCAAAATTTTGAAAGGTTTAGCCAAATACAGCTATGGTAATTTATTCCTTGGGTAAAAAATCCTTTGCATTTCGAAACAATTCTAATTTTCATAAACATTTAACGTCATTAAGCCAACAAATAAATCTCCAATAAGCCAATGGGTAAATCTGCCATCAACTATTCAATTTCTTTAGTCTCGCCGTAACGGAGGGGGTATTAAGTTTTACCCTCATCAATCTGCACGTCCAGTTGTACGTCCCAACATTGTTTTCTGTTCTCTTACTTTAGTTGGCCTCAACCAAATGTTATGAAACTTATACACAATGCCTATAAATACAAAATACAGATCAAACATAAACTAAAAGAACTAGCCAAGGAATTTTTTTTGTCCCGGCCGATAAAGCTGCTAATAATATTAATTATTATTGTTTGACGTAAATTTTACATTGAGGTTCTGAAAAAAGAAATCACCAATTCACCAACATTCCAACTGACTCCATTTTCAGAAAACGACATCTGTAACAAACATAAACTTTTAGCTACCGCTTTACAAGCAGAACCAAATACAATGAAAGTCCCAACTATGTATTGGCTTCCGAAGCTACACAAAACACCTTACAAATATAGATTCATTTCGTCTTCAAGCCATTGTTCCACTACTAAATTGTCTATTCTTCTTACCAGTACACTTGGTACAATCAAAAACCTGATAATAAATTGTTCAAATAAGGCCTTTGAAAATAGTGGAATTAATTACTTTTGGAGTGTCAAGAACTCGTTGGAAGTACTTGATAAATTGCATGCATATATTGGTGATTTTGAATCTGTTCAAAGTTTTGATTTTTCTACCCTATATACCACATTGCCTCACATTCTCATTAAGAAAAAATTCACACACCTAATTAAATGGGCATTTAAAAAGTCAGAATGTGAATATATATGTTCAAACTCTTTTAGGTCATTTTTTAGTAGCAATAAACAAAAAAACTACCGTAGATACTCGCCTAATAGTCGATCCTACTATAAGTCGGGGGCCCTTTTCAGCTCCAAATTCTAAGGATTTAGTCTTGACCCTCGTATAAGTCGGACAAAATTTGGGCATTTTTTTTTCAGCTGACAGTAACTGAACGCCGGTAAAACCAATGCAAATCCAGGAATAATATTCATTTCTGCATTAATGTTTGTTTGGTTTGAATTTAGTTGATGCTCATCATGATAATTTATATTGCTGTTAATAATAAAGATGTATTCATTTCTCTTGTTTTGTTCACTGTTCAAATGTTAGATTAGCCATGTGTTGTTTACGTAATGCATCAATGATTTTGTAGGGTATGACTAACAACCTATTGTTTGAGAAAAGCGAATATAAACCAATATGAACCTGAAAAATTTAAAGTCAATCAACACTTGATGAAAATATTTTTCACAGCATACATAACTCGGTGTTAAATGAGCATGTACACTTCATAATTCTTATTATATTGTGATGATTAAAGGATTAAAAAAATTAAGTGAAGCTAATCAATATATTAAAATAACTAACTCCAACTCATTAGTGTCATCTGTTTACCTATCACTGATAGTTTTCACACCTTTAGTAAATACAACTCTTTGTCTCTTAATTGGGGTTATCAATGGATTATATTGGCTTGTCAATCAATTTTGTAATTTGTTTACTGAGACACTTTAATGAATAATATTTTGATTTTGGGAATGAATCTTAAAATTATTTTTTGATTATTATATGATTTATAAGCATTGAATTGATATCATGATATCACAATAATGACACAATAACTCCGCTGAAAACATCCTTTCACATATTTGGTACATTATTATCTCCTTTTCATTTTTGGTTCTTGGCTCTTCTTTTGGGTTTATAGGAAAACCATGTGACCATGAAAATCAATACACAAACCGGAAACAGTAGAATTTCAACACGAATTTGCAGAAAATGTTTACCAAAGAACAAATAAAACACAAAGACAGTATTGTAGTCATTTATTTTCAACAAAAACTTTTTATTTATTGATTTATGTAGGTTTGGCAATCAAAAACGTAGTTTTGACCAGGAAATTCACTCCTGACCACTTTTCTCAAGCTTGGATTTATCCTCTGGTCGCTAGATCTCGTCTATTAGTCGGTCCCCCTCTCTGGAATATGAATTTTACTCCCAATTTTCCGACTAATAAGCGAGTAGGAACGGTATGTCAATTGGACATGCTTTGATACTATATATGCCCTTGAATTTTTACTAGATAACATTTTTGTTCGCTTTGGAGATTCCGTATATCGTCAGGTTATCGGAATTCCAATGGGGACTAACTGTGCACCACTTATTGCGGACCTTTTTTTGTATTGCTATGAGTTACAATTTATGACAAAAATCAGCAAAGACCCATCGAAACAACATCTGATACACAAATTTAATAATACTTTTAGATATTTGGATGATATTTTGGCTCTCAATAATGACGACTTCAGTATGTATACTAAAGAAATTTATCCTGTTGAACTTACTTTAAATAAAGCTAATACTAACAATGACCACTGCCCTTTCCTCGATCTTGATATCTATATCATTAACGGAAAGCTTAATACTTAAATATATGATAAAAGAGATGATTTTTCATTTCCTATCGTTAATTATCCATTTTTAGATGGTGACGTTCCCTTGTCACCATCTTACGGTGTTTATATATCTCAACTTGTACGATTCGCTCGTGTATGTAACAATGTTTTAGATTTTAACAAGAGAAATTTATGTATTACTGAAAAATTATTACACCAGGGTTTTCGATATCACAAACTAGTCAAAACATTTACTAAATTTTATCATCGGTATAAGGACATCATTCGTAAATATAGCTCAACATGCAGACTTCTTATACGTTCAGGTATTTCACATCCAATTTTTTATGGAAATATTCTTTATAAAGCACAAAAATGTCAGTATTCACCTCTGAAGCTAACAAAACCTTTAAATAGACTTATTAAGAAGGGATATAGTTACGATACTGTTGTCAGGTCATTAAAGATTGCATATTTTGGCGTTAATATTGATTCACTTATAGGGTCTTTGCATCGGCACTAAACACATTTATTTAAAAACCAGTTGTTGGCATGACACGGGTTATGTTCTTCTCATATATGTTATTATGGTATGATACTAAACCCCTAACAGGAAGGATTGTGCCTGATATTCATATGATGAAGACATAATCTTTCAATCAGTTTAATTGAAGTCTGGAGCTGGCATGTCAGTTAACTGCTAGTAGTCTGTTGTTATTTATGTATCATTGTCATTTTGTTTATTTTCTTTGGTTACATCTTCTGACATCAGACTCGGACTTCTCTAGAACTGAATTTTAATGTGCGTATTGTTATGCGTTTACTTTTCTACATTGGCTAGAGGTATAGGGGGAGGGTTGAGATCTCATAAACATGTTTAACCCCGCCGCATTTTTGCGCCTGTCCCAAGTCAGGAGCCTCTAGCCTTTGTCAGTCTTGTATTATTTTTAATTTTAGTTTCTTGTGTACAATTTGGAGTTTAGTATGGCGTTCATTATCACTGAACTAGTATATATATTTGTTTAGGGGCCAGCTGAATGACGCCTCCGGGTGCGGGAATTTCTCGCTGCATTGAAGACCTGTTGGTGACCTTCTGATGTTGTCTGTTCTATGGTCGGGTTGTTGTCTCTTTGACACATTCCCCATTTCCATTCTCAATTTTATCAAGATAGAATTTTGGTGGTGTCACTTTTACTGTTCTAGAGTTATGCCCCTGTAAAAATGGAAAAAGTGCTGAATTGTTTGTTTTTTTCACTGACGAAAGATTGCCTCAAATGTTATGAAACTTATGCACAATACTTATTACCACAAATACAGATTTGTGAAGTGTCACTTTTACCTTTTTTATGCCCCAGCTGTAGCGGAGGGGGCATAAAGTTTTACCCTTGTCCGTCCGTAAGTACGTCCCAAAGTTGGTTTCCCTTCTCTATCTTTAGTTTGCTTTAACCATGTTAACCAAATGTTATGAAACTTATACAAAATTGTTATTACCACAAAACACAGATCAAGTTTGAATTTTGGTGGCGTCACATTTACCATCTAGAGTTATGCCCCTTTACAAATAAACAAATTGCTGAATTTTTTGTTTCCGTTCTCTAACTTTAGTTTGCCTTAACCAAATGTTATTAAACTTATACACAATGCTTATTACCACAAAATGCAGATCAAGTTTGAATTTTGGTAGTGTCACTTCAACCGTTCTAGAGTTATGCTCCTTTACGAATGGAAAAATAGGAATCTCATATCTGTTCTAAAAATATCAATGATGTAATTGTTAATTTCAGTTATGTTCCTTCATAACTTTATATGATATGCAAGCAGGGGCACCATCTGTGACCCCATTTATATTTGAATAATCTGGAAATCATTTGCCTTCGTTGCTTCTCATATACTGTTAATTCAAAAATTAATGCCAATGGGTGAGTATCGCAATAATGAGAACTTGCATTCTGACTTAGATACATATCTGTTTCAGTATTCATATTTTCTTGAAATCACCAAAATTGTCAATTCTTCAATAATTGTTATAATGAATGTAAGTATTAATTCTGGATTTGCAGTATACTTTGATATTATTTGATATTTTAATATTTTAATCTTGTCTGTTTTAGAATATTCTATTACAAGAGTTGCAAGGTAAGGTACTACCAGACATATCTATAGGCAAAGAACTGAAGGAGTATGTTGATAACTGTGTAAACTTAATTTGGTATATGTGTATTCAACAACCACCAATGGAAATTGTCTGGGGAAAACGTGGTGATAAATTCAATAAGGAAATGTTCCGCTTTTCAGGAAAGAAAGGAACAAAGTTTAGGCTTACGGTCTGGCCTGCAGTTTTATATCATAAAGAGGGAGCTTTAGCTGCACCAGGATATGCAGTTCCAGAATAAATAAATAACAATGATATAATGGCTGAATTTTTCATATGAATTCAGTAGTAGATACAATTGCTGTGATTATATATGTACTTTTTTAATTATAATTTCAAGGGATAATAAAGTATCTGTATAGTTTTTATTATGTTTAAGACTAGGTTAGATTTTCTCCTCACATAATTTGAAATGCATTGGTAGTTCGATAAAAGCAGGCTAGCTATATATACAGTTGTAGTCATGAGTGTGGAGTTATAGGTTTTCTGCTTTTATGTCCAGTAAAGAACATTAACTGTTACATATACGTTCACCATACAAGTTAAGTTAAAGTTAAAATACTAGTAATGTGTTGCAGTAGGATAACATGCATTCATGTGGAATGCACCCTTTAGGTCCTACACTAAAATACTAAAAAAGTGTGTTTTGTTTAAAGCAGGATTTTTCTTGTCACATCAATATTTTAAAGATCTGTATAAAATTTGAGGTCACTATATCTAAGGATCAGGTCATAGTTATAAAATATCGATTTATGTGAGACAATATTTCAGTCTAAAATCATAACAGAATGAATCATACCTAAAGGTAATCAGAAAAGAACTATATGTAGAGGTTTTTCTAAGGAATTTTCATGAATTTAATATGAATTATTCACTGGGGTAAAGCTGATGACCGTAAATCAATTCACGGTCATCCCAAGATGGCGAATGCAGAATTAGGTCAAAATCTATATTGTCTGTTTAAGTGTTTCTATTCTAAAACAACAACTTATACATCTTTATTGTCAACATATACAGTAAAAAAACAATGTGAACTTGTGATAAAAAGCCAATATAGATACACACAGAAATGTAGAAAAAAAAATGGGCAGTGCCTTTTTCTATCCTAAAAAGTGCCCTGCCCTCCACTGGCACCCTGCCCCTTTCAATTTCTATCTGGAGCACTGTAAAAGATAGCAAACACGTGCAATTGGATTTTCTAGGACTGTTTGATATTATAGGTTAAAACAATATGTTAATAATCATTTTTACCTGTATAAGGATGAGTTTTAGAAGATGAATCAGTCGATCAACCAAATGATTTACCGTTGTTTCACCTCCAATGTTGACATTCTTTTCCTTTTGATAGCTAAACACACCTAGTTCATGCGTAACCCATCTCTAGCTTAGGGATTCAATTGAAGTTCGCATGAATACGGATTTAATGAAGTCGAATTATTCCCTTGCAAGTAAATAATTCATTGACTATATATCTTAGCTTATTTGGATAAAACTGAACCAAATTACCTGCTAAAAACGAATTATAAATTTCACTGTTTCACTTTCATTAATGTTTGATAAAAAAAAATATTTGTTTTTTTCTATAAAAATATCAATAGAACATACCCAACTCCTAAATTAATCTGTCTCGTGAACTTTCACTATACATGTATGAAAAAAATCATAATAGAAAACCAACAGAGTGAGTAAAAATTTTGCAATGACTCAAATGTTGGAAGTTTACCCAGACAGATTATAATTTAGGAGTTATGTTCTATTGGTATTTTCATCCTTGGCAAGTTACATTGTTCTTGAAAACTACATTTCTTGTTAAAACTCCAGTGGGGGCAGTCAGGATTCGATTTCGTCAAAATTATCTCCCCATTGCGCCACCTATCTATATATCTGTAAATAACTTCTGCCAATCAAGGCACACCTCCTGGAACCCGGAGTACGGTATTATATAAATAACACATAGCTGAGAGGGTGATAGAGCAGATTGTTACCCCGAGAAAACATTGTCAACTGTCAGAGGCGAAGCCAAGGCTGACAATGTCTTTTCGAGGGGTAACAATCTGCTCTATCACCCTCTCAGATATGTGTTATTTAATTTATTATACTGAAGGTTCTGTTATTACTGTTGATTAAATTTCAAATTCAAAGTAATAAACTATGACGTCTTGTACATAACAACCATCCGTATTTAATAAAGCGCACACTTGATCAAGCGTCTCCGTGAAGGGTAATAGAGTTTTGCCATAGGATCAAGGACGTATAACTAATCTAATATACGTCCTTGATAGGATAGAGTCGTATTAAATAAAGCGCACACTTGATCAAGCGTCTCCGTGAAGGGTAATAAAGTATTTACCATAGAATAGAGTAAATTAACACCCTCGTATAAGCCAATCAAAATATTGCATTTTTACGTGAAGTATAATAAATTAAAATGTTAAGTATATACACTGAATATCCTCCACCAGTATTTACATTAAATCCATAAGAATTATATACACTGATAAAAGTTAATCTTAAAAATGGTAGCCATTGTAGTGATGATGTGCTGTCAATTTAACTCTTGAAAACCGACAAATTTATCCACATAATATCATTACGATCCTTATATGCCCGTTGTATTTTAAAATACAAATGTATCGACTGGCTATTGAGCATCAATTAGTGTTCTTTTATGCATTTGGCCAACTTGAAACTATGGTCTGATCGGTTGTCAGGAGATTTTCGATAGTTTTAAAATGTTAAAAAAATACTAATTAAATATCAAATCGAATTTACTGATTCATATACATTTCTCGGTAGTAATTTGTGATTTCCGTGTGAACCTTTTATAAATTCATATCATACCAATGTAAGCTTTATATGAAATATATCATAGAAACACTAAAACAGACAAAATAGATTCTGACAGTGAGTCAAGATGCTAGGATAGTGGTATTTGAGCTTGCTCACTAAAGATAAAAAACATAATTCAAACTATAACAGACAACAAACACTATGACCATGGCTTTAAGGGATATAGCTTTGGTTAAAATTATTTACGAATTTTGAATGTCTCTTTGGTATCTAAAGGCTTTTTTTTCCTGTAACAATACATTGAAAATACTAGTAATACCACTGACTGCATGATCAAGAGGACAATAAAAAACTAATAAGTCGAAGAGAAAAAGGACAACCCTGTAGTCAAAAAGGAAATGACGAAACCCCAAACAATTAACTACAATTCAGTATGCAGTAAACTAAAGACTTAGCAACAAGAACATCTCCAAATCCTGTGATGGTTGCATGTATGCTAAAAAAAGGTGAATAAATCGAGCTCCTCTCATTGCACCAAAATTCATATACGTTCTAGACAGTATATGAGTATTTGGATTATACACAAGTCATATTGTCATGACCAATCTATCTCATATTCGTGCCAACCAATTCGTCCCAAGATGCTTGGTCAATTCGTACCAACTTTTTAAGAACAGTTTTAACAATATGAACAATCAAAAACAATCTTATTTCTTTAAATGTTAATGATGTATATGCATGAAATTTATATAAAATGTATATAAATATTAATTAAAAATTTATTTCTATGGTTTATACTCAGGGAATGATATATTGACCATTACAGTATTTATTTAAGTAAAAATTTAATGACAATTTAACATAATTTTTTTTAAGGTTTTTTCGAATAAATTCTAACACGGCTGGTAATCTACACAAGCAGAACAATCGGTTCTGCAATGAAAAGCGTGACAGGATTTTCAGGTTATGCTTGAGTGGAGTCATTGTCATCGCTTCGCAAGGCATGTACATTTCTAAAATCGCAATTTTCTAATTCAGCTGATCAAATATTGCAAATCCGGGAATACTATGCTGTGGTGAATGCTTTCTTGAAGAGACACGTTTATCGTTTACTTTTTTGCATGGAGTTAAAACTCCTGCTACACGCCAGTGAGAAATTGCTAAAAAAAATTGACATTAAACTTTTGAGATGTTTCTATTAACAGACCTGCAAGTTAAAATTTCCTTTTTTTTCTGTCCACGGGACTGAATGTCGAATTGGGCGGCTTATATGCTGGCTGTCAGAAGTTGATAGACGTCTTAATATATCTAAAATCTGTCAATGTTCATTATTTCATGCGTGAGGGGATCGGTTCTGATTGAGGTCATCATGAATGCTTGAGGGGAAGTGCAAACCTATCTTATCGAAAGTTCATGAATATTAAGTTTGTTTAGTTTCTTTTGTTACCTATTCTGACATCGGACTCGGACTTCTTTTAAACTGAGTTTTACTGTGCGTATTGCTGTGTGTTTGTTTTTTTCTACATTGGCTAAAGGTATAGGGGGTTGAGATCTCACAAAACATGTTCAACCTCGCCGTATGTTAAATTTGTGCCTGTTACAAGTCAGGAGCATCTGGCCATTGTTAGTCTTGTGTGATTTTTTAATTTTAATTCATTTATATATTTCTGAGTTTAGTATGACGTCTATTATCACCGAACTAGTACATATTCTTGTTTAGGGGCCGACTGAAGCACGCCTCAGTGTGCGGAATTTTCTCGCTGTGTTGAAGACCCATTGGCCTTCTGCTGTTACCTGCTCTTTGATCGGGTTGTTGTCTCTTTGACACATTAACCATTTCCAATCTCAATTTTATTAAAGTCTTACATGCAGGCGGGAAAAAGCATAGTCAATCATAAATCTTAACCACTTATATTTATGGTCTAGCCATTTCCATTGTCAATTTAAATTTAGTGTGAACTTCACTGAAACTATGCGAGTTACTTGCCTTTCTTTGAAACTTTTATATGTACATGTATCTGTTTGGAGTGATTGTTGTAATTTTTAGGTTTGCACTCCGTCCGTCTGTCTGTCTGTCTGTCCATCCGTCAGTCCGGCAAATAAGTTATGTCCACATTTTTTTTTCATGCTTGAAGATATTGATTTGATATTTGGTATATTGTTTTATCATGACAAGTTACAGATCAAGTTCGAGTTTTGTTCCGGTATGATGATTTTGAGCACATTTATTTTCCTTGGACTTAGAAAATTCACTCAAATTAGCAGTTTTCTGCACTTCTTTTCGTAATGCTTGAGGATATTGATTTGATATTTGGTCTATTGTTTTATTATGACAAGTTACAGGTCAAGTTTGAATTTTGTTCTGGTCTGATGATTTTGTGCAGAGTTATGGTCCTTGGACTTATTGCTCAAATAA